ATGAGTGGCATGCAAGAGGTTGCAAAGAGGAGCACAAAGAACAGCCATTTCCAAAGAGCTAGTCATCATCATGCAGGTGTAAAACCTCTGTTATAAAAAACCATCGATATCCATTAAAAGTGTGCCAGGTGTGTGTGTGTGTGTGTGTGATGTCATTATTATGTGTGTGTTTTTGGTACAAGTGGACATGCAATTACTTATAACTGATAAAGTATTTACAAGTTATTTTTTTCATAATAAACTCTTTAAAGTCAATAATACATTAAAGGCCAGCATTTGTACATTGACACTGTACAAGATTAAAAATAAATAAGGCAATATCATACAAGTTTATCACAAATTAAAAAATGTTGCTTATCACTGCAATACAAAACTCCAAAGGACATTATGGCTAAATAGTGCTCCTGTTCCAAACAGGGCCCATACAGAGCTTGGAATTGCTGATGATAAAGGAAATAGTTTGTTAAAGTGAACATACTCGTGCGAATCACTCACTAATACACATTCCCCTTTTCCAGGAATGGAAATCCTATTGTTTATGCTCAAAAGCCTTGAGCTTGTGGTCTGTGGCACCTACTAGTGTGATATCAAGAGGCTTTTGTGTTTGCGAACATTCTAGGCTAAACAGCCTACTGTGTCAGATTCCACAACTTGAGCTCTTTTCTAGGATGCCATTAGACATCATTGCCCCCATTAACTGTTAAGGCTAAATTCACTCTTCAGGGTCACTAGGCTACTGTTTTAGTGCCCTAGAACAGTCATTTACTGGAAGAGCTCTTTTTGCTTCCAAAAATGTCCAAGATATACCTAAGGAACTCTACAAACATTAGCAAAAATGGAGTCAACATATTCTCAATGACATTTCTTATGTAACTTCTTCATTTCTTCACCTGTGGCCACAAACACGCACGCATGTACACACGCACACACATCCACACACACACATCCACACATACACATGCATCCAACCACACACCTAAATTGACCAACTGGGGAGGAGGGGTGGAGCAGGTAAGAAGGAGAACAGATCTGTGATTTCATTGGCATATTGAACTACCAGCAAGGAAACTCTCTACCAATGCAGCTTGGCACCTGCTCCATATATTACAGTCTTAAGAGAGCTATCAGGGGCAGTGAGAAATAAAGTGACTTGCCCAGGGTCACATAGCCAGTAGGTGCCAGAGGCCAGATTTGAACTCATGTCTTGCTGATTCTGAAGCCATCTCTCTAACCATTATGCAACACTGCCTCTCTGACCAACAAATTCAATCAAACCACCAATTAATTCTTTAAATAAGTGACTCCTTTCTTCTTTCTTTCTTTCCTTCCTCCCTCCCTCCCCCTTTCTCTTTTCTCTTCTTTCTGGAATTAATAGGCTACATGTTCTCAGAATGATTGAATTAGTTGTTTTTAAAGACACAACCATAGTCTCTGTATTGGCAAACTATTAAAAACACACACACACACACACACACACACACACACACACACACATAAACACCCAATGTGATCATAAAACAGGCTCTCTCAGATTTTAGGAAGAGCTAAAATGTAAAACCAAAAAAATTATAAGGGGATGTAGATGTATTCAGCCAAACAATAGCTGCTATTCTAATGCTCATGACAGACATTTGCAGAGAAAATATATACAGTTTATGTATTTGAAGTATTCTGTTCTTATTTGATTAGCATATAAAACTCTTGGAACTATTTATTCAAGAACTTCGTTGAATATTATTTTGTAGTTTCAAGATTATAAAAACTTGGTGGGAAAAAGTGCTGAGAGATTAATGGTTTGCAAATAGTCCCAAATGTAAGGAAGAAGGATTTGGGACAGGAAAAATAGAAGAACAAATAAGAGTCTGAAGAGCTTTTCTCATCTTCTGGTATAAAGATATTCATCATCACCATCATTTAAAGAGAAATCATGCAAATGAGAGTGAAAGGTTGTGCTTGCAATAAACAATCCTACAAAAAAAATCTCGTCAGAATTGGCACCTATTTGGGGATGATGGGAGGGCTTCCTCAAACTGGAATGTTGTCTAGGTTTCAGGAATATAGGTTAACTTAGAGGGGTCACTCCTGTCCTTCTCTGAATGATCTAAATGCCATGACTATAAGTAAAAGAATTTTCCCTTTGGCAGGGGTTATAGCAAGATGAACCAGTCCATTAAGTCAGAGTTTGAATTACAAAGAGCTGTCAAAAATCTGAAGTACAGTGGGTGGGGCAGGGAGGAAGAAGATACAGTTAGATGCTATGAAGAGGTGGAAGAAATTTGAGCCTCAGGGCTAGGTTGCTGGTTTCAGGTAGCTGAGGTGAAAAAGGCAACATTGCTGACTCTTGTGGATGGCCCAGGGTCGAAGTGCCACTTACAAAAAGACTAAACTACCCAGCTCTGACTGCCTAGAGAAGTCACTGACTGGTTCATTTGTGCCCTCCACAATATGGAGTTGGGGACCATCTTAAGAGATGTGGGAGTGACCCTGAACAGCCCAAAAAGACAGTAGGGTAGGAATTTCCCAGTGGGGCACAGAAGGCAGGGAATTCATATTTTATATCTCCATATCTTAGATTGTTTTCTACCTCTGATTACAAAGTTTCTACCCCTAAAATATGCTATTGGAATATATCCTCATATGTTAATAGTGGTATTACAATAGATGGTATACTTCCCTCATGTTGATATGAATTCATGCATTTGTGAACCATGTCAGATTATTCATTGTAATTATATCCTCTTCATAAATGCAGTTCACATGAGTTATAGGAGGAAAGAATGTTAAAAAAAACCCATCAAGAATATGTGGGTGAAAAGAGTTAACTCACTGAAATAAAATTAACAATAAAATGGGAAAACTTAATATAAAGGACTATTGTTCTCTAAAGAGGGACCTACCATATAAAATGAAATAGATACTAACTCTACTCTTCATCTGCATTAACTTGAGCAAAAGTTGCCAACAAGTCTTACATAAAATAAAACATGTTTGGTTCCAAATGCACCTTTGTGGTCTCTGCTGAACCCCTCTTGCTTGGCTGGACTCCAATTCTGGCTCCTTCTCATCAGACTTATCCTACTACAACTCATGCCCTGATATTGAAGAATCCTTCAATTTGAAGTATCATGGGGCAGTTCCCTAGATTTTGCTGGAAATCCCTTATACACACTTCATTAGACCATGCTTTGGTATAAATATGCCACCATCTGTTACCTATTCCCTTGGACTTTAGATCAAACTTCTTGGCTTCAAAATTGGTCATTTTTGTTTGTTTTATTAGGATCCCAAATAATCTGACTTCATTAATACTTCTTTTCAACATCTACCCACGTAATTTCCCACATAAACAAATTCTGCTGGTACTTATACTTAAGCTTGTATATGAATTGTCCATGACTGGATTCATTCACCCATAAAGACCTTTTCTGGTCGAGATGAACTCTTCGACTGACATATTTATGGAGGAAAATGAAGTCCAGTTGGTTAAGTGATACTTGTCTCAAGAAATCATTTTATTTTACTTTTTCCCATAATCACTCCTGAGCATCTAAAGATCAAACCCCGCAGGGTATCAGAGTACCAAATACTTCCACAGAGAACATGTATCAGTTACTCAGGTTTGTCAAGTTCTATCAGTATTTATTGAGAGTAATTTTTTTTCCCCTGAATTGTGGAACATACTGTGGTTATATTGATGACACTCATTTTTAATAAATTCTAATGAATTAAACTTTCTTTGCTCAACTGTATGATGAATCCCTTTATTCAATAGCCATTCACTAAGCACCTACGATATGCAAGGCACTGTGCTAGGCACTGTAGGGAATAAAAAGATGACAGAGTTCATGCCCTCAAGGAATTTACAATTTAGTAAGAGCTACTCCTATTTTCACCCTGACTCCACATTACAATTTCCTCTCCCCAACTTTCAGTGGCAGAACAACCGATGGAACCATCAAGGTAAAACCTTCTTAACAAAGAGTGACCCTGAATTCATTTGTTTTACCCATGAACATTCCTTTATCTACTATTTGACCACCAAAGAACAGAGCTATCTCTCTGGGACAAGTATCCCAGCTCAAGTTTGTTTTCAAGAATAGAAACACCATTGTAAGCTATAGAGCATATGGTCTAAGTTATCATGGGCCATCAGTAGGAAAAACCATGGTAAGAAATGTTCTCTTCCCTCTTCCTTCCTGTCCCATGCATTCTTGATCATATTTCTTCATAGCATTTAACTTCCCAGTGGTGAATTGATTACTTGGTTGCTCAAGAATGATAAGGGTGGTTTTGACAGTGGTGGTGGCTGGGGATGGAAAGTCACCTTGTAGATGACACACTACCCCATATGCTTCCTGATACCTGAAAATTTTCTAGGTATAACCTAGGATGCCCATCTCTACATACAAACATGCCAAGTTCTGCTACAGGACCCAAGTATTCCTCAGAGCCTGAGAGAACTCTGGCTGGGAATTTTCGCTCTACTTGAAGTTACAGTTCCACCTAGAAGGTATGTGTTCTTGTGACATTGTAACTCCGAGTTGTACAGCTTTATTACTATGGCTCCAAAGTGGATTGCTGTAGTGAACACGAGATCTTTCTTAGGGACTTGACATTACTCTCTGTCCTTCCAAATGGATTAGCATTTTTACCAAACTAAAGAATCATGGAAGAGTTTGGAGGAGAATTTGGATTCAAATCTTAACTTTATCACTTACTGGCTGTGTGACTTCAGGAAGGTCACCCATCTCTCCCTGCCTCATTCTTTTGTAAAATGAGAGAGCTGAACCAGATTATCTCTAAGGACCTACTGCCAAGGACATCCTGTGTGATTCATTTTGATTTCTGCAGCCCTCCATCACACTGATTCTGGTAATGGCTGACATGTTTATTGCTCTGACTCACTTCTCATCCTTCATAGCACCAATCTCCTGGATTATGATATTACTGTCAGATCACATTTTAAATTTACACAGCTTTCCCCTGTATTTCCTTTTTTGTCAGAGACCCTTAATTTGCTGTCTGCTTTTGGAAGGTTATAAAATCATTGTTTCACACATCTCCAATTGTAAGGGGATTCTAAGGTCTTTTATTTCAACTCCATCATTTTAAAGATGAAGAAACAGGGGGTCAAAGAGGTTAAGTTACTTGCTCAAGGCCTGATCAGCAGAAGTCTGATAACCCATCTTCTAGGTCAGTGGTTCTCAATCTTTTTGGTCCCAGAACCCCATTACACTCTTAAAAATTATTGATGACTCCTCCGCCTCCCCGTCACGAGCTTTTGTTTTTATGAGTTATATCTATCAATACTTGCCACACAGAAATGAAAACATCTTAGTATTATTGTATAAACAGTTATGACCTCATGGACCCCCTGAAAAGGTATCTGGGACTCATATGTGTCCTCAGACCATATTTTGAGAACCAGTGGCAGAGAAGAAGTGATAGATAGAGAAGGCAAATTAAATGCTCGATCAGGCATTCTCTGGAGTATCTCAGGTGTTTCCTAAGAGTGCCCACAAGGTGTTGAATCTCCTTTAGTATCTCTTGAATATTTTCATAAAATAAATTCTTCCCTTATCTTGACCTTGCTCAGTCCCTTTTGTATCAATTGTGGTCTCTATCACCCCTTGCATAAATACTATCTTGAACCTTCATTAGTTGTTAACATCCCCAAATGGGGTAATCTCATGTATTTGATTTATACCAGCCAGACCTGGAAACTCAGGAAGTCCAAGTAGGTTTACAAAAACTAGGTAGACATTTAGCACTTAATGGGAATCACATTTTCTATTATTCCTTTTGATTCCATGCTTCCCTGATTGATTTTACCTTCATACAATTTTATTACATATTGGTATGTTACATATCCTTTTTCATAATTTCCCTGTTGCCTTCAAGTTTGCATTCTTGAATTCCTCCCCCTACTCCCTAAATCATTCTAAGATCATTTCTCTCCTCATTCTCTAGGTCACTAGGAAGATCATTCTTTCCCCTCCTTTGCTCCTAACATAGGGTCAGCAGAAGTGTCAGAGATGTCTTTAGATCCAAATGAATACAATAGAGCCAACAAACTGGAGAGGTGTAATCAAAAAGACTAATCTTAAGAACTCACAAAATATGAATACTATTCATGCAAAAATCTAGGCCTTCCACTGTACCACTGTATCCTAAAAACACAGAACTCCAAAGAAGGCTAAGCATACCCTTTGGTAGAAGAAAAATTTTTATGAGTATTGCCAGAATTTTAGATGCAATAAGTGGTAGGATTCTGCTATGGTCCTCTGATCTGTTTCTGGCTATAACTTGGGACCAGGGCTGCCATAATCCTATTTGCTAGTGCTTGTATAGTCTCTCTGACCTCTGTAACTCTAGACTCCACTTAATTCTTTAGATCCTTCATATTTTCCAAATGCTCTTTAATTTGGATAACCTCCTTGGGCTTAGACCCTGACAGACCTGAATCTGTTCTGCTTAACTTGTTCATTCTATTACTCACAGTTCTGCCCTTCCTAGCTAGTTTTGCCCTGAAAACCTCTGACCTTTAATGAATGCTATACCTCTACAAAGATACATATATCAAATTCACAGAAATAAACTGTCATCACTTTGTACTTTAATAGATTTCTGTAACTTTGGGATAGAGCACTGATTTCTGGTCTTAAAATAATTTCCTTAATCTAAAATTGTCTGTTCAAAAAGATTAGGAATTCTAGACAAACAAGATGTCTGATAACATAAACTTTCTAAATGCTGTGTGTTTGTTTTTCTCCAAAACAAAACAAAGTAACATATTGCTTAACTCATAGGAACTTAAAATCATACATGAAAAAGATGAGAAATGAGATTTGTCTCCTTATTTACTTTGAACAATAACAGTGGACATTTAAAAAATGAGTTTGGAGAGTTTTACAAGAAGCAAAAAAGTCATCAAAGAAAAAAAAATCATTGGCAAGGGATACAAGTACTACTACTGACATTTATAGAAGGTGATGAATTGGTATGAAGCCCCTCAATCTCTAATCCTTAGCAAAGAGCTTCCTTTGGAAGAAATCCAATAGCTACAAATATTCATGCAGAAGGAAAAGGGGTTCCTAATATTTTTGGCCTATTGCTGCACCTGAAGCATGGAACCTCTGGTTTGATCTGCACCCTGTGATTGATCATGGGGCAACATCTGGGCAAAGATGCTTAGAGATGGTTCAAGTATTTGTCAGTATTCCATCAAGGTCCTGAGTCCAGACTTTTTTTTTTAACCTAATTTTGACTTATTGTACTAAATGTGATGCTGTTTGGATGTTTTCCAGGGTTGGAAGGGGCAAGTTAGAGTGAGCAGATGCAGCTGTTTTGGAATTGGCTTAGTTCAATCTTGGATAAAGCTGCTGCCTTTTTTTAGGCTTGTTTATTAATTCAAACTCTGAGCAAAACTTTCATTGTTCTTGCTATAACTCCAGAATATGTTCCTAAGATTCTGTATTGTATTCCTCATCAAAATTTTAGATCCAACTCAATCTGAACAATAATGGATATGAATATGTGACATAGCTCCCTTATGCCATTACAAATAAAGTTTAAATAAATACATGTATCTATATAAATTTTTACGCCTATATATATGAGTGTGAGTGTATATGTGTTTATATAGAGTTAGGATATATACACACATACATTATCATTTACACACATCTCTTAAGTATGCCGTTTACCTTTTTAAAATTCCAAGAAAATTTCCTTAGTTTCAGAAAATCTGCATTATTCTTGTCCTAACACAATTGTTAGCCCTTATCGCTTCCATTCCAAGTTTTCTTCTATGGAGCTTCCCGGCTTTCTTTGGTTGTGTTAGATTGGATCCATGGCTGATGCCACAAGCTATGACCTTAAATCCTGTTGGCAAGTATTCATGCTTTCCGAGTTCACTTGCAAATGACACTCATCTAGGCTTCTTTCACAGCTGGCACAGAAGGAAGGTAATGGAGCGTTGGATTGGTGTGGGTGCCTGCTGTCTGCAGGGCTCCAATCCCAGCTTTGACCGTAAAGCTAGCCACAGATGAGACAGAAGGGCAGCTAGTACCCAGTTTTGTCTGAATGTTTGATTTCCCATATGGATACATTTTCCGTTCTAAGTTTAAGGACCTGGTTTGAGAATTACTACCGTTTGCTTTTCCTTCCAGAAAATAGGTCAACATTTCACCTTTTCCCTTGACACTGACTTTCCCTCGACACGTAAATTCATAGCTACACCGCTTTAGTAATCGGTGGACTTCTTCTGTGACCTGTTGGCAAAAAGAATTAAGTATTATTCAACAAGCATTTACTTACTATATGTTATGCTCTATGCTAGGCCCAGGGGAACAAAAAATTGTTGGCACTTAAAAAGCTTGGATTCTACTTGGGGGAGTGGACAGCATCTTCATAGGTAAGTGAATGCAAAATACATACAAAATAAAACAATTTGGGAAGGTGGTTTCTTTGGTGATCAGTGATAAGATATCCACTTTATCTTATTCATCTTCACATTTTATTATCTTTTGTTTTTATATTACCTTCATTTCCAAATATACATTGCTTTCCCCTCTCCTCCCTTCCCCAGAGAGCCATGTGTTGTAAAGAAAGTAAAAGTGAGAGAGAGAGAGAGAGAGAGAGAGAGACTGAGATTGAAGCAAGACTAACCAAAATATTAATTAAAGAATGTGGCAATATATGCACCCAGAGCTACCCATCTCCACAAAGAATGGAAGAAGGTATATTTTCTTATCCCTTCTTTGGAGCCAAGGTTGGTCATTATACTATCTCAACTTTCAGTTTCTTGTTCTTTTTTCCATTTCTATTGCTGTAGTAATTATTTATTATGTCCCTGACAGAGTTTACTATACTTATATCAGTCTTCCCACACTTCTATAAATTCTTCATATTCATTATTTCTTAAGGTGCAGTTATACTCCATTTCATTCATATACCACCTTTCATTTAGCCATTCCTTAATTGATGGGTATCTGCTTTACTTCCAGTTCTTGTTACTAAAAAAATAAAAATACAAAAGGTTGGGTAGGGATATTTTGGTGCATATAAGACCCTCCTTTTTGTCTTTGACCTGCATGGGGTATATGCCTAGAAGTGGGATCTCTGGGTCAAAGGGCATAGACATTTTAGTCATTTTCTCAGGATAATTCCAAATTGTTTTCCAAAATGGTTGTATCAATTCACAGCTCCAACAATAGTATGTTAATGTGCCTTCAAGGGAACAGTTTTTACCAGTTTTTGTAGCTGTCTATTCTTTGAGTTAAAATTACTCAAACTATTTAGTTTAATTGAATTTGACTGACATTTGTGGAAGGTTCTGCAATTACTTGGCTTTGGGGACACAATGATGAAAAATAAAAAAGTGGTCTTTGCCCTCAAGGCATTCATTATCTAATGGGGGATATATGTATACAAATGAATATGAAACAAGGTACAACATGATAAGGAAAAAAGAGAGAGCCAGACAAAATCATATAAGAAAATTTAAGTAATAAAAGAACATTTTCATCTGGGACAAGGATTCTAGTTCATCATCTTATTTTACAGATGAAGAAACTGCAGAGTAAGTAGGAAGGCAATGTCACATCTCGTTATTATTCAGGAGTACTTATTGATCTCTGACCGAGGATAATTCTACAAAGTTTTATGAAAACGAATGTTCTTAGAAGACTTGTTTTAGAAAACAAACAACAATTCGTGTTTCTTATGACTTGGTCAGTGTCCAGTTGAATGTTGGGAAGATACTTCTCGCTGTGAAAGGCTAGAATCAGGATTATTTCTGGAAAGCTGGATAAGGCCCAGGATGATCTCTAGGTGTTTTTTTGTTTGTTTGTTTCAACATTTACCAACGCTATGTACCAACTCTCTCTACCAAAACTTTTATGCAAATAAAACTAGGACAGCATGAACATTGAGCTCAACATTGAATGTAGACATTCTTAACCTTTTTTTTTTTTTGGTTTCGTGGACCACTGTGACAGTCTGGTGAAGTCTATGGACCCCTTCACAGAATAACATTTTAAATGCAAAAACAATGCATACAGGTACAAAGGAAACCAATTATATTGAGGTACATTTATCAGAATATATATTTTTAGAAGTATATGTACCGTAGATTAAGATTTCCTGTTTAAAAGGATGAGAAATCACTCAAGGTTACCATAGAGAAGGTGGTGGTACAGAGTATTTAACTGGAGGAAGAATTAGTCTTTTGCTTAAGTGATGAATATGAAGAGGTTTTATTTTCATGAGATCTTGACTTTTTTTAAAAGACCAGTTGAATGAGCTGCCTTTCTTCTCAACCAACTGCACCTCTGAGTCACTGTCTTACTAATGGTAGCAAAGCGCCCTCCATCAAAGTACAGAGATCAGAGCAACTGCTCCAATTTATTACATACCCTAGGGATAAATCTGTCTCAAGTGATATTTTCTAAAAGGGAAACACAGGATTTTAAGTGTTTTAATAGAACAGTAGGAATCAAGCAGGGGCCTAGCTAAGTTTGGAGATCCTCATCATTGCATGGTTGCAAGGTGATGACATTTTTTTAGTCAGAGCCACTCTCTGAGATCACCACACAAGTTGTAGAGGGGCTGCCATCTGCTGGTTGAGGTGCTACCAGCACTTACAAACATCGCAAGTTCTTGAAGTATGGAAGAAGGATTAGGTTTCAGCTGCCTTTACAATACAAAGATGTTTTGTGAAGTCATGAATGGGGTGTTCCATGGGGAAAACAAGAACATCAAGGCTGAGGCTATCTCATTTTCATATCAATTATTATTGGGAGGAGTAAAGAATCATTTTAGTGGGGCCAGATGTAGCATGTGATACTTAGGAATGGAGTTTCGTGAAGCACCAACGCAGGAGGGGGACACCAAAATATTAATATTTGGTCAAAAGTTGTACTTTTCTTATCATGGCTATATGTGTGTTGCTTAGAAGAAATCACTATATATAGATAATTAAGCCTGTGAGGTCAAGGCATAGCTGAGGTTAATGAGCAACTCATTCCACCATATTTAAATTAAAACTAGTAGGTAGTAACTGAGGCTTGTCAGAAATGTATTCCAAATAATTCCAGTCCAGCCTTAAATAGAAGAGTATCATCAGAGCAGAAGCGAATCTGGGTCCTATTGAATAAAACTAAACAAGTTATTTTGGGAGGAGAAAGCAGTAAATTAACCATGTTTTTGTCAGCTTAAATTTAGAAGGCAAGCTGAAGGAATGATGACTCAAATATTTTCCCCAAATGAGGAAGGACATTTCAAACAGAAATAAATCATCAGCAGGGACCCTTGTGATATGATGATTTTAAGAACAAGTTGGGCCTCTCATCAGGTTCAAGGGAGATCAGCAAGGTAGATCTGCTCGATAGAAGTTGTTGCAGTAAGCAGCTGTTTTATTCTGAAGGAGCATCAGATAAAGAAAACTTATAAAGGACACTATAATACTTCAAAGGATCTGTGATTTCAATACCAAACTCTCTTTATCAAGACAAATCTCAGCCTTTCTATGCCTTAGTAGAAGGTCTTTGTGACTTGCTTTTGTTGAACAAAATGTTACCCCACGGCCAACCTTCTGGTGATGAGCCTTTCTTATATTCAGTGGGTCTGGTGCTGAAATAACAGGTGTCATATGTCACTGCGTCTTGATCATAGTCTTGGAAAAATCACAAAACCTCCATGGCATGATGAGAAAACAGAAGATGGAGACCAGAAATTACATTAACTAGATAGCAGTGGTATAATAGAAGCCAGAGGCCATGACCATAGTGTTAGTGGTGTGGAAGATGTCTCACAGCACATCTTCTCCAAAGAACTTGAAATTCAGAAGTCCACATGGTTCTAGTACAGCTAAAGCAGTGGAGTAAGAGTGAAGATGAAGGACAGGAAGTCTTAGAGGTCTTCATAAAAAAACTTTAAGTTTCATTGTAAGTTTCAATTGTTTGGAAAAAAAAACCCAAGGAAACCATGGGCATGTTACGAGTTTCTTACTCCAGGAAAAGCTTCATAAATTTGAGCTTGGCCTGTTCGGTGAATCTTTATCCTAAGGCAGAATAAAAGTCTGTGCTCTGATCCTAGGACTGGTGGGTCATTTTGAAGTCGAGGAACTACAATATATTTGTCGTGATATCCAGACCAATAGAAGCTTCAAGTATTAGTGCCCTGGAGCTAACTCTTCAAAGAAAAGGAAAAAGAAAGTTCCCCAAACTACTCTGTAGCTCAGAAAAACTCAGCCCCACTCAGAGAAAAAATAAGAGAAAGAAACTGAATCATGGCAGTCAGTCTAGCCTCCTATGGATAAGGCATTCTATACTGGTCTTGGATCAACAAGTAATTCAAATGTGTAATGGTTAGAATTCTGATTCTGGAAATATTTGAAATGTAACAAAGGTTAACAATGCCACTGAATCTTGAATAGGTTTTGGGGTGACTTCTTTCAATGAAGGCTTTCCAAGGTGATGAGTGGACCGGCAACTAGATACTTGCATAATCCTCCCTATGCCTTGTCTTAGAGTGAAATGATTAAGGAGGAAAGGATGAGGTGGGGCAAATAAGTAAGTAAATAATATGACATGGTAATAACTACTTCATATCACTATATTTGGCACTGTTCATATTTCTTCATAGTTCTGTTTTGAATTTCAGACTATTGTGAAATATTTTGAAGCCAGATAAGAACATGTAAAAATAGTATGATTAGAAAAAAGTTGAATCTTATCTGAATAATAGGAGGAAAATAAAAGTGCATTAGAAAAACCTCTTAACTGCAAACATCTGTTAATTTTAAATAATGTTTTTTTAATTTCAGCAGAGTATTCATTCATACATCATTTATACATTGCAATGTTTGTTCTTAAAGAATGATCACTTAAGAAGATGTGAGAAAGTCTGCATTTCTTCAGAATTTTGCTGAAGGAACCAAAGGGTTGTACGCTTAGCTAAAATTTACTATGGAGCGCCATCTAACAGTGAACCAAGGTAACTGCAGCTTCATAGTTCCTCAACCACATTGCACACTTTCATATTATTGTGACTGTTTGACCACAAGTCATCCATGATGATGACTTCAAAGTGATAGCCAATGGGTTATACTTGAAAAAAAAAATAAGGGAGACAAGAAGAAAGGATACAAGGGGGTGGGATGGGGAAGGAATGCAGAAGGAACATGAGAATGGCTCATAACAGTGAGTTGATATTTGATTTAGAGGACCTGGTTCTGAATCCCAGCTCTCTGATTTGCTACATGTGTGACTTTAGAGTAACTCATTTAACTTTTCTAGGCTTTAGTCTATACAATGAGCATTGAACTAGATGATAGCAAAGGTCTCTTATAGCTCAAAAGTCTGATTCTACAAGTAAAGATGGAGTAAATATGGCATGCAGGATCAGGAAATGGAGTTTACTAGAATAGTCTAAGAAAAAAAAAAAGAGAATGGCATATTCAAGCAGCTTTAATGGAGATAGCCAGGTAGGGTTCACAAGCTGGAAAAAGGAGTTGGGAAGAAGGAGCTCCATAAGGTAGAGGAAGGAAAACCACATAGAGGGGAGGAATAAATGGCATCAGTTTCACCTAGAAGTCAATAGAGACAGACTTCAGATGCCAAACAGGAGGTAACTTTACACAGAAAACAGAAAAGGGAAGAGAGAAGAGAGGAACATAGTAACTTCACTGGAAGGTGAAAGAAAGGTTGACCAATTAGAAGAACCTTAACTAACAAAGTAAGCCAGGGGGGTCTAGGACTCATGGACCAAGGTAAAAATAGAGAGAGCTTTACTTGTGATTAGAAGGGACTGTTGGGCATTTTGAAATACCTCCCAATCTGTGCTGCACTCTTGGGATCTCATAGTTTAAATCTGGCATAAAGAGAGTGATACACATGAATTTGTGAGAAAGCTCCTCATCTATATATTGTCTATGTTGCATACAACATCCCCCCACCCCCACACGCAATCCCCTCACATTATATACCCCTATACATTTCTTCACATTATACGACATCCTCCAAACCCCCCCCCCCATTTCCTCAAGTCATGTTTACCTTTTGAACTAGGACCATGAGACGGGGATAAAGAGAGAATTGTAATGTTTAGCAGTCATTCATCAGAGAACATGAAAGTATAACTATTTGTTTATTGCAAGTACAGAAAAGTTTTTCAAAGCTCCACATATTTTCCATTGAGAACAAATAGTAACATTTATCCTAAGACCTAAGGGCCAATGGGATAAAAGTTAGGTATCAGTTACTCCCAAAAGCAAGATCTGAATCACTGCTTTCTGCTGGCTGATCTCAGAATGAGAAACCATAGAGTCAACTCAAGTAGGAGGAAGCCCAGTCACAACCATTATTCCTTTTCCTGTGCCAAAGTGATTTGCCCATCAAAATGAATCACTCAGACAAGGAAATCCTACTAAAAATGCTGACTAGTGGACATACCAATATCCAAGAGGCCAAATATTTGGTCATGACCTAAAGGAAAAAGAAAACCAACCTATTTTATAGTTGAAGAAACTAAGACAGAGGTTAAATGAATTGCCCAGGGTCAGCTAGCTGGTGTCTGAGGCTAGATTTGAACTCAGGTCTTCTTGACTCCAGGCCCAGACTCCAGAGCTCTATCAACTATGCCACTTACTTGCCTCAAGTATGTTCCTACTTCAAGTGGGAACCACTCTACCACGTCATAATAAAATCCACTTCAATATTTCAAGGGTATGTGATGTCATGGGTGTGGGGAATATTCCCTCGACCAATGCAAATTGCAATACAATTATGTCTTATTTAGGTGGCTTTTGGGGGTTGCTGGGGCAAGAAATGCAATATTGCCAACCAGTTGAGGAATCTCTTAACACTTACTCAGGTTGGTTTTCAGATGACATTCCACTTCTGGTCCAACACTTGAAGTTTTTCTACTCTGGCAAGATCTGTCAGAACTTGTACTTTGTCAAAACAGCCATCAGAAACAACTATGAAAGGCTTAGTAACTCTAATTAACACAATGATCCACCACAACTCCAAAGGACTCATGATGTCAAATGCTATCCACCTCCAGAGAGAAAACTGATGGACTCAGAGTGCAGATTGAAGCATATTTTTTTCTTTTAAAGTTTTTTTTTCTTGCTTTTAATTTCTCAAAAAAAAGCTAATGTAGAAATATGTTTTGCAAGACTTCATATGTATAATAGGTATCACATTTCTTGCCTTCCTAATGGGTGGGGGAAAGGCTGGAGGGCGAGAGAATTTGGAACTAAAAAATCAAAATTAAATTAAAAAATCAAAATTAAAAAAAAACCAGCCATCAAGAATATGAGGTCATTTCAACAACACTGAAAGTAGGCATAGGGGTAGGAATTTACCATACTTATTTATTGGTTTGGTAAGAATCATAATAATATCAGTGGCTGCATGGCAGAAAAGAAGAAGGAGAAAGAGAAGAAGGAGGAGGAGGAGGAAAGAAGAAAGGAGAAAAGAGAAAAGAAGAAATCACTGTTAACATTTATATAGCATCTATTATATGCCAAGCACTTTACATATATTGCTCATGTGATCCTCCCAACAATCATGGGAGATAGATGCTATTATCCCCATTTTATATTTGAAGAAACTGAGGCTGGGAGAGGGTAAGTGAATTTCTTGGGGTCACATAGCTAAAAAGTATCTGAGGCCATATTTGAACTCAAGTCTTTCTGACTGTAGACCTACTGCTCTAGCCACTGAGCCACCCAGATATTGTGATAACTCACTCAACCTTCACAGGCATTAGGCAACTCTAGGATTCATATTCTAAGTCACACACACACTTATGATTGGCATTGTCAGAGAAATTTCCCATATTGAGAGTTCTCCCATGTTGATAAAATTACAGACCCTTCGTGTATTCCCTCATTCATAACTACTCACAATTATTTAGTGCATAGATATACAAAATAGCTCACTGAAGAAGACATCCAGAACTAAGTTAAACAATATGGCCATTTTCTTAAAGAAAGGACAAGCTTTTGCTTTGAGATGGGGCAAAATGTTAGTACCCAGTCTCTTTCATCATAGGCAAACTATGGGTCTACCTTACGTGGAGAAAATTTCTACCCTGATCCTTTAAGGAACAATTTGAAAATCAAGGCAAAGAATGAAGGCAAAACTTTATTTCTTCTATGGATGGCAATAAATTGGGTTTAGGGTAAAAGGCGGAGATGTGGAGGACAGGGAAGGTAAGAAAAAGCCAGAAGTATTTATAACCTGGCAAGGCTGGAATGGGAAAATCAGGTTGAACAATTTTATTTGTTTCTTCAAGGTTCTTGCTGAATCAAGAGTGTGCATACACTAACAAGGCAAACTTATGGTGTAACGATCTCATTTTTGGCTACATGAACTACACACACACACACACGCATATAAACAATACCAATTGCTATACAGAAGTTGACAAAAATTCATGGGGAAAGTTTTCTAACTATATCATACAGATATTGAATGCAGTTAAAAAGTCAGCAGAAATTTTTAAAAAGTTCAGGAATATTCCATAGGACACTTTGTGACCTGTAACAGGTCAGTCCACATTTTATTTCTTTTAATTTTAATTTATGAAATAAAACAAGAATTTCCATAAAATACTAGAATAAAAAAAAAGATGATTGAACATGAAATGGCCAATCTGTTATGTACAACTTGCTATACCTTTTAAATATAAAGTTATCATGTAACTTTCTTTTTTTTTCCATGTCTCCCCACACCCAGCCTAGTTCATCTTTTAATGACCACTTAAAGGACATAGGACTTGGAAAGACCTTATTCCATTACTCAAGGTAAGGTGAAGGGTTTGGGTACAGAGATATGGGGGTGTGTGTGTGTGTGTGTGTGTGTGTGTGTGAGAGAGAGAGAGAGAGAGAGAGAGAGAGAGAAGAGAGAGAGAGAGAGAGAGAGAGAGAGAGAGAGACAGAGACAGAGAGACAGAGAGAGAGACAGAGAGAGAGAGAGAGAGAGAGACAGAGAGAGAGAGAAAGAGAGAGACAGAGACAGAGACAGAGAAAGAGACATATCAAAAAAGCAATGATAAGTAATGACTGGTGGTAAGTTGAAGCTTTACAAAGAAAAGAAGAAAAAAAAAGACAAAATTTTTCTAGAAAGAGAGTATTCATATCTTTCCACTATAAAAGTCTATGATAGATGAACAAACTGTAATATGCTCTTTTCCAATGACAATTTCCCTACATTTGTAGGAAATTTAAAACATAACATTAATGACTGAAAATTCAAAATAAATCCCTTAAACTCAACAACACCAAAGAACATATTTCAAACTCTTTAGAATAAACAAACCTGAATTTTCCCCTGCACTCCAGTACTATCCATTCGGCTGGCAACATTTACAGTGTTTCCCCAGATATCATATTGAGGTCTTCTGGCACCAATAACACCTGCCACTACTGGACCTACATTAATGCCTGGAAAAAAAATTGTTTTATTTTGATAATGCTTCACTTAAATGTAGAACAAAACCGATCTTGTTCTAAATTATTTGTTAATTTAAAATACTGTTAATGTTATTCTTGTTATGTTAACAAGCATTTGTTGGCTTACAGCTTTTATTCAACCTACTTTCTATAATGAGAATTTCCATGATGTAACAAAAAGAGCCCTGGATTTGGAGTAGGAGGATGTGAGTCTTAATGCTGCTAATCACTACTTCTCTGACTTTGAACAAATCTCCTCAGTTTAAGTGAGATTGAACCAGGTTGGAGAGTTGGAGTTTTGATCTCTAAGATCCCTGAGATTACCAAATTCTATTATATTGAGAACAATTAGACATGTCCAAAAAGGGAAATGAGATGATAGGTGATTCCTTGTTTCTGCAGGTATTTGAAATATTTGTCAGGAATTTTGTTGAGGAGGATATGGTACTATGCAGGGATTTGTACTAGATTACCTCTGAGGTATCTTTCAATTCAGGATTCCATTTCTTGTAGTCTCTCTCGAAAGGCCAAACATGGTTTTATGACTATAGTATGAATTCAGAATTACATGGTATTCTCACTTCTTTGGCTGCTACCATGTTTAGGAAAAAGAGACACGGCTAAACATACTTTATTTACTTTGGGATCATAGCTTACCAACACGGAGGACAAAGTCGTTGTAAGATTGGTAGTTGATTTCATCAAGGACATCGAACATCTCTATTGCAAAATCGGCTAGTGTGCTCAGATGTGAATAAATTGACTTCTTGGCCTAAGTACAAAATAATCATATTCTTACAATGGATCTTGATATGAGAAAAGCTAATTAGTCAACCATGGAGATATTTTGCTGGTCAGTTAGCCACTTATCTATGAATTACCAATGGGGTTCAGAATTCGCATCTTATGAAGATCTCGCGACAAATAAATGGTTAAGCATAGGGCACTCTGGATCTTTTCGCAGCTCATGTGATTCTCTGGACTAAACTAGATGCTCTTTGGACTTATTCACATCTACAGCTTACAATAGGATTTTATTTCAGCCGCGTAGGTAAGGATTCGAAAAAAATCTTTAGCTATACTATATTTTTCACAGGTTTGTTGTGAAGAAAGCTCTTTGCAAGCCTAAAAGTGCTACATGAATGTTAGTTGCTGTTGCTATTAGAGTCATAGTATGACATCTTGGAAAAAGCACTGGACTTGGAGTCAGGAAAACTATGAGTCTGCATAGGTAAGTAAGTTACTTAACCACCCTGAAACTTGGTTTACTCATCTATAAAATGAGAATAATAATACCTCTTAGTTCCTGCCTCACTTTACCATTATGGGGATCAAATGAGAGTAATACATATGAAGTGTTTTGTAAATCTCAAGGCACAATATAAATATCAGTTGTTGTTATTATTCTTTGACCAGCTCTTTACATATATAATATATACATAGATAGGTAGATAGATAGATATAGATATATATTTTCTTTTTCCTTTTTTTCCCCCCATTTGGGCTCATAGTGACAGTTAAAATAAATGCAGGAATGAGTCGAGTCTGTGGCATTCCAAACGGTCACAGAGAGCCAAACCCATAATAGCTCTTCTAATTCTTTTGTAGATAGTAAAAACAAACAAAAACCCTAGTCCCCCTTCCCAGTGAATAAAACTGAACTATAGAAAACGTCATCTACCATCATGGAACGACCTTTACCGCTCTTTAGCTGATGACCTCAATCTATGACTTTGGCTTACCTAATAGATTTGTTTTTGTTATTCATTTAGTCACGTCAGCAAGGTAAGTTGTTTGAGTTTGATACTTGTGTGTGTGTGTGTGTGTGTGTGCGCGCGCGTGTGCGCACGCACTTGAGTTCTAAGTGCTTATGTTCATTCATAGGGCTAAATCCTTGAGTGTTTTTTGAAGCGGAAAATTTAGAGTTGCAATAATATCATTTTTAAAAATGTAACTTTAATTTCATTAAAACGAGAAACATTGTTATCTGGGATAGCCAAATCCTTAAAATGAAATTATTCTTTTATTGCAAATATTTCTTTTGTTGATTTCTACTAATACTTTGATCTAATCCTCTATGTTCTTTGAGTTTGGCTACAATCTGTGGGACTGTTAGGGGTGAGACTATGTTGTCCTAGAGAAGTATATTTTCTTCATTGCATCCTAATAGTCTAGGGAATTCCACACATTCTCCTTTTGTTCCACTCATTTTATTTGACTCTCTCTCTACCCCCACAGTCAACCCTCCCTGAAGAAATAATATGGCATAATCAAAATGCAAATATGTTTATATGCTAAGATGACCCGAATCCAAATGAATGTTTTGGATTCGAAGTTCAGATCTCCTTGAATCACCTCAGCTCTGCCACTTTGTACCATGTGAACTTGTACAAGTCACCACCATCATGATGCTTCAGGCATGGCTGGTCTTTGACCTGAACTATTGTTGTGATTGCACCTTTGTCTTTTTATATGTAAAATAAGAGGACGGACTTGATCTCTAAGGTTCCTTCCATTTCTAAATCCTATGATCGCTTCAGCTTTGCCATTGTAAGGTAAAGGCGGCAGTATGGATTTGTGATTGACTGCTCTGGAGGGCCACCAACATATTCAGGAGACTTTGTAGGCAGAATCATGGGCACCAGAATTACCCCTTGAGCCCACATTTCACCAGGGAGCATTCCAGCACTGTAGTCTCAGCCTCATCCCTGAAAGCAGATGTTCTTGTCTCTTCATATTTTTTTCTGTTTGTTGCCTGTTTGTGTTGAGAGCTGGAAGGTATGTTGTGTATAAGATATAACTTTAGGCAGGAGGTCAGGGATAAAGGTAAATAACACAAAACTTTTCTTGGTCTTAATCACAACAATAGTGCAGGTCAAAGACCGGCCATGCCTGAAGCATCATGATCACAATCTGATTCTGTCTCTCTTAAACAGAGGGAATTAAAAACCCAGCTAGAGAAATCCAACCTCCAACTTACTATATTGCTTGTATCGGTTATCTGATTTTTAGAAGATATTTTGTATATTTTAAAATTGAAATTATTCAGACTTGCTTTCATTCTCCATTTATATGAATGGATATTGCATAAATCTGTATAGGGTTTGAATCAGAGATGTGAAAATTTAGTATTAGAAGAGAGCTGGACTAGCATTAGACAGGACCTGGGTTTGAATCCTCTTCCTCCCTCCTTCCCATGGGATGTTGGTCAGGTCATTTTATTTCTTTGAGCTTGAGTTTCATCATCAGTAAAATGGAGAAAACAATATCTTTAATATGACACCTCACAGGCTTGTTTTAAGGATCAAATGAGATAATATATGTAAAGGACTTTACAAACTGCAAGGTTCTATATAAATCCCAGTTATTATGATTTGCAGAGCTTGTACCTTTTGGCTTGTAATGATTTTGTCAAGGTTTCTATACTTATACTTTACTCTGTTATCAAAAGGATTCTTGGGAAACATCTGCTGGTAAAGTATATTTTTCCTTTCCACATCCCACTCAGGCAGTGGGTGGAGGGGAACTAGAGAGTATTCTGTTGTTTACTGATTACTAACATTAATTTTTAACTTTGGTTGCAGTTAAAATAAAGGAATTGAGCTATTTGGATGAATGCTGAATATATTAAAGAAATCAGATGGGTGGCCAAAGAACAGAATTTAGGCTGTTGCAATCTACTTGTATTATGTAAATATACACTGAGTCCTCAGCACATCCTGATAGAACTTTCAAACAAGTGTTTTCAATTCTGGACTAACTCACCTGCACTCACTTGCCATTGTCAAATCAAAAGCACACAAGGCAAACACACTCTAGTAATATCACTACTATGATCTGACATTGTCCTTCTTTCAGGGTCATAGTTCAAAGGGTAATCAGCTTATTTGCCTGAAAGAATACTGATGCAAAACTCAAGGAATCTGAGGAAACAAATAACAATTCACGTCTAGCAAAGGAAAAATAATGGTTATTATTCATACAGAACCTAGTTTAAAAAGCAGTTTAAGATTTGCAAAGCACTTTACATCTCATTTGATCCTTACAACAACCCTGAGGGGTAGGTGCTATTATTACCCCCATTTTATTTATGAAGACACTGAGGCTGAAAGAGGTTAAGTGACTTGCTCAGGGTTACAAAGCTCTAGTCTGAAGTAGGATTTGAACTCAAGTCTTCTTGAATTCAAGTCTAAAGCTCTATCTACTGCACCACCTGTCTTCTAAGCTATTGGAAGGAAGGAAGAAAGGAAGGAAAGAAAACCAAAATGGAATGATCTGTGACTCATCTGTGTTTTTGTACTATTTCTCTGTTATAACATAACATAGCAAAAAAAAAAAAAGGATAGGGAGAATCTTTTATCTAAGTCATATTGTCCCCAGTACCTAGTGCTGGACTCTGTACCCAGTTGGTATTTAATGTTTGTTGAAATGAATTGGTATAATGAACTCTTTATTATTCTGCTACGTGTAACAAGATGCTCACCATTTGGGAACACAAGCATATCCAGTCAAAGGATACCTTGTGGGATCCAAAATAAGAAACCTGCATACATTGCTTGTTAGTAAACTCGCATGCTTTCTGGGGCTTACCCTGGTCCCTGTGGTTGGCACCAATCCCACTGCAGCCATATATGTACTTCCAATTGTCTTGATCTTTTCTAGGTCCTTATAAAATTCTTTGTCCATGAGCTTTGTTTAAAACATAAAACTGTTAAATATTACATAATATTTTAGAAAAGATACCACAGTTATCAGTTCTTATGTGTAACAGTATAGCAGATTAAACACACTATGAAAATCAAATTTTAGTAGAGAGAGGTCTATCAGTCTACGAACCTATGAAGGCTTCAGGGGGAGTAAAATGGGCTTGGGATGTGAACTCAAAAATATAATCATAATGAATATGTTTTTTCTCAAACACCTGACAGCATCACAGAGGTCTTTCAGAGACTTAGTATTGTAGTTGATATTATGCATTATTATTGCTGATGTTGTTAGGAGAGGAGATGGAGAAGGGAAGGGTACACATGTCTTCTCCCTGTGTTTCTATGACTATATTTTTAAAAAGTCTGGTACTAAAAGTGTGTGGATTCATGAAAAGTAAAGGAAAAATCAGGGTATTTCCTGATTCCGGTTTTGAAAAGTATATTATGGGGGAAAAAAAAAGACTGTCGAATTTCAAAAGGAATATAAAATTAGAATCTGATGGCAGCTGTGGGAGTGAATGAGAAGGGAATATTGATTCTCAAGATTTGACAAGAGAAAACAGTAAAGAAGTTCTACAAAAAGAAGAAAACATTAACATTCCTCTCTACTCCCCCCATCATTAAAAAAATCATATCATTATGGAAATTTCCCTGTATGTTTCCCACTATTTCAAAAGTGACTGTTGGGATAAAACTAAGCAAAGTTCATAAGGTAGTCACAATTTAATTGACAACGGAGAGAGAAAACTAGTTAGGCATTAAGTGAATGGTTAGGTAAGGATCCAGGAGAAAGAAAGGCTCCTGAAATGACAAATTCAGAACTGGAAGGGACCTTACAGGTCATTTTGTGTAACCCTGTTATTTTACAGATGAGAAAACCAAGAGCCAGGGGGATAAGATTTCCTGCCTGAAGCTATGCAATTAAATAGCATAGCTGAGTTTCAAACTCAGGTCTTCTGACTCTAAATTCAGCACTTTTTCATGGCACCACAATAAGAGAGGTAGAATAACATCAGCCCAATCAAATGCAGGTTGGTCAGTGCTGCCAAAATTAAATTCATCCTAAGTAAGTACCATTTGTGATGCTAAAAGTTTGAGGAAAGGCACTATCCTCATTGCTCAGAGAGTATAGTGTGGTGGAAAGGGGCTGGCTTTGGGGCCAGATGTCAAGGACTTATAAACTAGCTCTCCTGCTTACTATGTCTTTTACCTGGGACAAATCACCTCCCATCTCTAAGCTCAGTTTTCTCATCTTTAAAATGAAGAATTTGGACTAAATGAGCTCCTCCATTCTGGTTCTAGTTCCTGTATCAGAAGGCATTAGAAAAACTAGGCCATTTCAAAGAAGAGTGTTTCATGCACAAAGGAAGACTTCTTTTTGAGATGAATAGGCTGGCTGATGGGTAACTACGTAACCCTGCATTTCCTCCCCATGCTTTTGAGTTTTCTTTCCAGTTTCATCAATCAAAACCTGGATATGTGGTTGGATTAAATGCAGGATTTAACATGAAAAGAAGCTACACAGTCAATTGAGAAAGTGATTCAGTGCATTACTATGGACATCTAGATCCCCTAACAAAACTCATTCCATGGAATCAATAATAACTAAATAATTGAAAATGGAGACATTACCTCATCAAAATCAGCAATAATTTCATTTAATAGGCGTAAACACTCCACTCCCATGTTATTGCCATCCAGTTCGATGTAGAAATCATTGAAATTTGGGATGGAAGCAAACATCACGCCCACTTGTGAATAGGACTGGTAATAAAGGTCCTGTAATTTTAGAATCATGATTTGGCTTGCATAACAAACAAATGGGCATCACAATAAGCAGCTTGTTATTATTAGGGAGATGATGAGGACACAAAGGCCTGGCTTCTATCAAGATGGGTGTACCCGTGTGTGCAGGTATGTTGTGTGTGTGTGTGTGTGTGTGTGTGTGTGTGTGTGTGTGTGTGTGTGTGTGTGTGTGTGTGTATGGCAGTGTTATTCGATTCAGTACTAGCGTTTAAAAATACACAAAGCTCAAACAATTGAAATGCAAAATCAGGACTTAATAGGCACCTTTTTGTTCCAACTTGTCAATCTGGTAGTCTTTTAAAATAATCACAGTATTGATTCAGAAACACTTAACTTCTACAATGATATGTTTCTTTGGCTCACTTCCTTTATTACCCCTGTATTGCCTTCTATCATTTACCCCCTTGTCAGAGCACTGGAACCAGACCATTCACATTTAAAGGTCCTGATCAAATTACCCTTCAACGGCCAGCATTAATTATGGGAAAGTAAGAAATGGTGTCATTTAGCATCATATCTAAGCTATAGTGAGAAGCGAAGGTGTGTTTGCTAAATGAATCCTTTGCTTCCTTAGGGGTTCCACTCAGGTGTAACCTCCTACAGGAAGTCTTTCTGGATGTTTCCAGGTGTAACTGTTCTCGACTTCATGTTGCCCTCTCTTTATCCAAATAAATGGGGCATACTCCTATGAAGTCTTAAGGTCTCTGGGGGCAGGGGCTATTCTTTTGCTTTTACCCTTGGATCCCCAGCACTTAGAACAATACTTTACTCACAGCAGGTGCTTGATAAAAATACGCTTTCTTAGATCGTATTTAACATCTATGAATAAACATATATCATTGGAAGTACATAATATACCTAAATAACTTGTTATAAAAATTAAACAATTCCATAGTTAAATGTTTTAAATGCAGAAACCCCAAGTTAGAGAAAAAGCATTGCAACATTTTAAAGTTTTTTTTTCAAAATTTATTTTTAAATCTGTGATTTTTTTTTTTGAGGGAATCAGGGTTAAGTGACTCACACAACTAAGTGTCTGAGGCCAGATTTGAACTGAGGTCCTCCTGACTCCAGGGTTGGTGCTCTATCGACTGTACCACCTAGCTCCCTCTAAATCTGTGATTTCTAAAAAAACAAATTCTGTCTTCTAATAGATTTATGTGTCTGTCTTAATCAATGCTAATTTCCCTTCCCCAAACCACAAACGAGGAGATGATCAGGGTTGTTGTAAGGGTCAAATGTGAAGGAGACTTGTAAAATGCATGAATCCACTGAAACATAAGCTATATGGACCTATGTTGCCTGGATCATCTACATTATAATTTTTTTGATAAGATATCCAACCAAGTTCTCATTTCTTACCATGTTCCTGGGATTGGACATAAGAAAGTGTTGTGCAACATGGGCTGGCAAAAGGTTGAAGAGAATCCTCTTATTGTCCAGTTTCACTCTCTCCATATCATCTCGCTCTTCTTCTGCCTGGGTTAGGGAAAACATTGTGACGTTTCTCATTTTTGTGCATTCAATGCATTTTTTTTCAGGCCCAGTATTTCTGAATATTGCATCACCATTCAGCAACTATTGGCACAATGACTGTGCCAATTAACACAAATTCTTGAGGAAATTTTCTGCTTGTTTATACTAAATAGTGGAAAAAGTGCTTGAAGGAGAGTTTGAAGACCTACCATTAAATCCTTCCATCTTGGGCAAGTCACTTACTCTATGCCTTAGTCATTTCATCTGTGAAACGGGGATAACAATACTTGGCAACTTCCTGCACAGGGACATTGTAAGGAAAGTGTTTTGTTTTGATTTGGTTTTATTGTCCCCCTCTTTAAAGCTTTGGGTGCTGTAGAAAGGTGAGTTGATAACCATCTATTCTTATTATATAGGTATGTCTTTCTGATGTGAAAATGTGAAAATTTTAAAACACAGAAGTTACGTGAAAAAGAAGCATCTTTTAAAATAAGCGTATTCCCTCATTTTTTAAATATCAGCTTACAGATCATTAACTAGAGAGGCTAGAGGACAGATAATGCTAATGGATAAGGCACCATTTATCAACCATCACTGAAAAATAAAGGTGAATGTCACATTTAGAAAAATGTAGTTGGGTTTCTGAACGTTTACATAAACCTTTTCGGGGACATGTTTATTACACAAAACTAGTAAAACTCCTTACTACATCAAGCAGTGCAATGGAAAGCTAGTTGGATTCAGAGTCATTGGGCCTTCATTCAAATATCAGCTTTGACACTTCCTTCACATCTTTGTCCAAGTCACGTAAATTCTCTGAGCCCCAGTTTACTCTTCTATAAGATAGTAAAACTTATAACGACATGAATCTCTCACAAGACTGCTTTCAAAATGCCATGGCTTTCTAATTACTACATACATTATTATTATTATTATTATTATTTTATTACTATTAGTAATATTAGTAATGGTTATTTTAAAAATATATCAGGTTGTTATTACTGACCTACAAATGCCAAAACCAATTGGATAAAAAGTTCACTTTGTTAGACACATTAGCTGTTAGAACAAGCTGGCTTGGTTCAGGGAGCATACTGAGAAATGTAAAAATAAGCAAACAAAAATTCCTAGAAAGCCTCCAGCAAACTGAGTAGCTCCTTTCTGAATAATCCATGGGAGTTCATGAATAATAATCACATGTCATAGCAAGTCAAGAATAGGTTGTGACTGGCACTAATGGAGAGTACATGGGATCAGATATCCACTGACGTATCATAACCTATACCATGCAGGAATTATGCTTGGCACTTTGTCTATATGGCACTTCATCTATATATGGTTCACAATAATTTTTGGATTCATATTAGGGCTCCGATATGCTGATATTAAGAATCTCACTTAGCACACACAATGCTATATACGTATATTAAATACTGTATGTGAAAAAAAATTAATTTACCAGTGAAGCATGAACTTCAAATTATAGGATATATTCTAAGGTAGCTTTCACTAAAATCTTTCCCCAATGCCTCATATGAGGGTAGAAATGATCCTGATTTCTTAAAGTCTACGATAATGAAATGTAATCTCCTAATGGCAAATTAGTGATATGTGATTTATCTATCACCTAAGGACTAATTCAGCTAAATATGGAGCAGTTCACTAACAGCTTGACCATAGGGTGATGCATTTTTTACCTACCACAACTCTTGCAGACTATCTACCAAGTTACAGACAGATCAGGATCTGCATTGGTTGGGGAAGTAACCTGGAAACTGTCCAGAGGAAGGCAAGAAGGACTGTGAAGGGTCTTTAATCCATTTCATATTAGGACTGTGTGAACTGGAGACATTTAGCCAAGTGAAGATAAGACTTAGAGGGGACATAATATCTATCTTCAAGCATCTGCGGGGATGTCAGGTAGAGAAAGGATTAGCCACAGCTTCAGAGACAAATTAAGGCCTTATGTAAGGGGAAAACTCCTCTGTTGTGAATAACATACAAAAGTATGGTGGCTGCTTTGACAGAAAATGAGTTACCCTTCCCCAGATGTCTTGAAGCAAAGTATGGATGACTACTTATATGAGGGGTTATAGAAGAGATCTTTTTTCCCTTATGGAGTGGACTACATGGCTACATCCCTTTCAACTCTGAAATTTTGTGAGTCTGTGATTCTGAGTACCCATGCCAATAAAACCATAGATCTTTGAAGCACCAAAGGGATTAAATAAAGTATGGCTTGACTGTGTTCTCATTAGGATAGAAGAATTTCTTTTCATTCAGTCACAGTGAATGAGTCATGACATTGTAGACGTTAACTGGCCTTTCTCTAGCATTAACGTAAAGTGCCTAAGTTTCCTGATATTAAAACACTGCAACATCTTGCTCTTGTAGAAATTACAGCTATCCTCAAAATTCAAAATGTAAACCTCAAATGAAATCCCCTTTTTTTTTATCCAATCTGGAGTTCCATTGTAGTACTTTTTAAAAAATCAAAACCTCAGGTTTCACTGGACGTATTTGTTAAAAATCAGTGATACAGCACATATCCCAAACCCATAATGGTAAGGGATGCCTCGCTCACTAGTGGGAATGACTATACTTCAAGGGATCTTAATAAAATGTCATCAAGCCAATAGAACGTTTCTTATCTAGTCAACTGTATGCAACCAAGGTCAGTGCCAGTGCCAGAAAACAGACTACTTTCAATGAAAACCATCATTCTTAATGAACTTATATCATTACAACACCTATGCTTAAAAAAAGAAAGAAAAAATATGGCTTCAGGTAGCTCTGTGCCAAATATAACGAAAGACTAAATAAGAAAGACATGGAACATTTGGCAGGAAAATTGCCAGGAAGCCCTCTTCACTACTTAAAAGAAAGTCATCAGGCAACTTATTTAACTGTAGTATTGCTTCTTGGCAAATTTTTTAAAAAGAAAGAAAGAAAATATATTGAGGGGTAACTATATATATGTCTTATTGTCACTACTATTGGGAAGGAAGGAAGGAATCTGCTACAATTTTGAAATGTGTCCTGTTTGCATTGAAATGGCGGTGTGCCTTTCAATATGCACTCAGTGATATGAGCCAGCTCCAATTTTATGTTTTCCTACATTTTCTCCGCTGGACTGTATGTGCCTGGCGAAGGTTACCTTGGTGACATACAATGCATATGTTTCTAACTATAACACTCTTTTTCTAGTTTCAAAGGCTATAGCTTGCTCTAGCTGTCACAATTTCCAATGCTTCAGTGTCACCTAATATTTTTCTGCTGAAATTACATGTCAGAATAGTCTATATACTCAAAAAAGTATATAATTGGCTGGAGGAGTCCAATTATATAAGCAAGAAACAGAAACGATGACTCTTTTCTTTCCCTCCTCCCTTTCTCCCAATCATAGAATTATGGGACCTCAGTTTCTTATCTGTAAAATGAGGTTGTTGGACTAGATGACCCTAAGGGACCATAAGCTCCCTTGTTGCTTTAAATCTACAAAAACCATCATCCCAAGATTTAATTGCTTAAGAAAAAACACATAGTTCTTATTTATGATATTTCTGTGATAGATGATTGCTACATGCCAAGAGCAGTTCATAAAGTTTTGGTTCCATGTAACAGCAAAAATCCTTTTTTTTTTTCTTTCCTAGGAAATGGCCAATGTTTCAGAATCACACAGAAGCTAATATTTTGGAAGTAGCAAGCTATTACGTATTCATATCCTTTGACTCAGAGATTTCATTTTAAGGCATAGCCCAAGGGGATCAATGACAAAAGGAAAGGCTCCATATACACCAAAATATTTGGACTACTTTTTGTGGTGGCAAAGAACTGGAAATAAAATTGATGTCCATCCTGTGGAATGGCTAAACAAATCGTGGCACATGAATACAATGGAATATTATTGTGCTGTAAGAATATGATATACAGAGAAGTATGGAAAAACATACATACACTGATGTAAAGAGGAGTAAGTAGAGCCAGAAAGTGCTATGCACAATGACTACAATTCTGCAAATGGCAAGACCAACAAATGCAAACAATTTTTAAAAATTAATGTTGCAAAATTATAAAGGTTATGTTTGACCCCCCAAAAGAGAAATAAGAAGACATGAGTTGCCCCTCTCTCTACCTCTTCCCCCTTTCCTTTGATGGATGTAGAACATTACTTAGAATGTCATTTTTAAAATTGATTGGTTTTCCTGATTTTCTTTTTGGTCTCATCTTCTTTAAAAAAAAATGAGTTGGTCTTCTGAGAGGAGAGAGAGAAGAGATATAGGAGAAAATAAGGACTATGTAAAAAAAAAACCCAACAAATACCAATAAAACATTTTTAAAAATTAGTGTTACTGACATTCAAGGGGACAGTAATAATATAGAAAAGCCAGCTGTGGTTTGGTGGAAAGTGCTAGATCTGGATTTAGAAGATCAGACTTTCTTTCAGATACAACCCTGTCATTTTCTGCCAGTGTTATAGACAAATACCATAACATTTCTAAGCATCAGTTTCTTCATCTGTAAAATGTGAATATTATTTTACACCATTAGGTTGGTATCTCTGATCAAAAGTAAAGAGTATACCAAGTGATTTATAACTACAAAACCCTAAATAAATGTCAATCATCATCTTTAACATCATCACCATTACTGGCATTTTACATTATTTAAACAGAACTTGGGCTGGGTTGTGTCTATCACTTACCCTTCCTGATTCCTAGGCTAATGCTCTTACCATGACACCATACAAGAAGAACTGAAAATTTCTTATATCTCTGACTCTAATTCCTGTCCCCACAAAAGGTAAATGCTGCTAAAAAACGATTGCTATTAAAATTTACCAGTGCCTAGTCACACACAGGATGCCTCTTTTTCTGCCTTCCTTTTGTTCAAGGGCACGCATTTAAAAAAAAATTTCTTTTTAAAAAAAAAATAAAACAAGCATTTCCATAACATAATAGAATAATAAAAATATGACTGCACATGCAACTGCAAATCTATTATGTAAAAGCAGCTATTCCTTTTAAATATATAATATATTTATCATGTAAAGTTCCTTTCTTTTCTTCTCTCTCCCCATCTTAGAGATAGTTACTACTAGACACAGATGTGTAATTATATGTAAAATCATCCTATATATATATTTTTTTCTATTTATCAATTCTTTCTCTAGATACAAAGGCATATATTTCTTAGACAATTTGAGATGGGAAATCAACATGTGTCCTTAAAACAATGTCAAATAAATGATGAAATTCAGAATAAACTGTAACTCTGAATCATGCCCAAGTTATCCTTAAACATTTGAAGTTATGTCACTGGGAAAAAGGATTGGATGTGTTTCGCTTGATCCTTCAAGAGAGATCTAGAAGCAATAGGTACAAGGTGCAAAGAGGCAAATTCAAGTTTGATGTCAAGAAAAGATTCTTAATAATTGAAGCTCTCCAAAAGGGGAATGTGCTGCCTCAGAAGGAAGTGGGAATTCCCTCACCGAGAGTCTTCAACCAAAAGATGGATCACCACTTGTCAGGTGTGTTGGAAAAAAGATTTTGTGTAGGTTTGGGTTGGATTAAGTGGACCCTGAAGGTCCTTCCAACTCAAACCTTCCATGAATTGGTGAAGATCCCATGATTGTGTTACATATGGTCACATTATAGGTCCTGATTCAAAACCCCAACTTGCTTGCTGCAGCACCTTTGAACTTTTGACAAATCTGGAAACCATGTGACAAATTAACTATATCATGGCTCACCATTCTAAAATAACAATCTTTTTGAAGGATGTCATTTCTTAAGGAAGTACTGCGGTGCTTTTAAAAATTCAATACTGGGGGCAGCTGGGTGGCGCAGTGGTTAGAACACCAGCCCTAGAGTCAGAAGAACCTGAGTTCAAATCAGACACTTACTAGCTGTGTGACCCTGGGCAAGTCACTCAACCCTGATTGCCTCCAAAAAGAAAAAAGGAAAAAAAAATACAATACTGGCTTCCTAAAATGGGTCATTTCAACACTAAAATGTGTTTGTAAATTGCCTCCACTAAAAAATGAAATAGATTCTAAACGCATATTAAAAATACATTGCTTCTATCTACTATTTATCCGGGAGAAGGGAAATAGGACTTCTCTACAGATATCTGTAGAATTCAGTTTGTTACTTATTAGAGAGCCCTCAATAACCATGATGACTATGCAGGGATTCCATGAGGGTGAAGCTCAATGTTTATCCATTGACATCAAACATCCACTTAAATGAAGCAGGCTTGACAGAAAAATAAAAAGCAACCCTTGGAATTAAAGGCAAGAAGAGGTATGGAGTGCTCTCATAATAGACATGAGTAAGCACCCATGGTTGTTCACAGATTCTATGACTCTTAAATGATCATAAACTACAAAGAAAATTAACCATCAGAATATCCAAATAGCCCGTTGAGAGTGAGAGAAAGAGACAGAACTAGAAGAACAGGAAGAAAATAGAACAAAATGTGAAGAAGAGAGAAGGAACTTTATAAAGATGGGCAATGAATACATCAGATAGAAGTCATTCATTCATTCATTCATTCATTCATCATGCAGTCTGTTCACTCAGTAAACCATTTATTAGACATCCATTACATACACGGTACTGTGGTAGATGCTGGAGGAATAATTAAAATCTAGACACTCACCTTTTGGCCTAATAGTAGAGACACAATACAAACACAAATACATAATCTACAGAATATTCGTGATAACTATTGCACTCTTGAATCCATATTCTTATTGTAGTGGATGGAAGTCTGGACTTGGAGTCAAGAAGAACCGGGTTGGAATCTTGCTTCTGATATTTACTAGCTGGGTCCCCACAGGCACGTTACTTGAGCTCTTTGTGTCTCCATTTCCCCCACTTCTAAAATGGTGAGAATAGCTATAGTACTCACCTCACAGGGTTGTGCTGAGACTTTAATCTATGCCACGTGCTTTACAGATTTTAAAGTGTGAAATGAATGCTGTTATCATCATCATCATCATCATCATCATCATCACCAGACCAACAGATTATCTTCCTAATTATTAGTATTATAGGATTTATAGGAAGGAAGAATGACATCATCTAGCTCGATCCCCTCATTTTACAAATAAGGAAACTGAGGTTCACTGAGATAAAATAACTTACTAAAGATCATGACCATAGTTAAGTACAGCGGTCAGGGTGTAAACGCATATTTCTTGAACAGTGGAGTCCATTTGTTACTATGGCACACTATAGAACCATTAAGCTTTAGCATATAATGAAATTTAAGTTATAATGTTTGTGGTTTTTTTTTTCCATTGAATATCCAACTAGTTAATCAACTTGATGCTGGTCTATTCCTTTTAGCCATTTTGCCTATGAATGGGTGATTCTATGAAACCTCCAAGATATATGTGAAAAGAAGCTTAAGGTATAATAAAACTGTACTTTTACCAGTAAATTTTTAACCACAAGAGGGCAGGGAAGCACAACTAAGATCTGGAACTATGTGAATATAAGATACTATATGAATACAAACAATTGAAATTAGCCTTTTCCCCAACATTTGGCTCAGAAAACACTATTGGCAATTGAGAGTATTTTCCCAAGGGATTGCTAAGGAAACGGTGCAATAAGATACTTTTATCTTTTTTTTTTCCTCTCTCTTCAAGAAAGGGCAGATTTATCACAAAATGAACTCATTAGCAAAGTCTTTGAGCTAAACCAGAGGCTTCAAGTACCGCCCTGAGTAACTCAGTTCAGGGGTGTTTACAGATAAAATTTCCAAGTTTTCAGTCATATAAAAGACTTTTAAATTTATTTATTTTCTCCCCTCACACACTAATGGATTTACAAGTCTTAGTGATGTGGGCATGCTCTCCAACCGTGTAGACTGAAACATATCAATCAACGTCTGCCCTCCTGTCTACTGAGCTTCCTGAAATTTACCAAAGGGTAGTCACCCAGCATTCATTGAGTCTTCCTGGCTTCTTCTTGACATCATGAGGATACTAATGAAGCATGCTCTTGCAATGAGCCTATCTTTTTTTCTATTAGTCTGTTTCTTTGATAACCTTATGTCCATCACTTCTCTATTGTAATTCCCTATTTTGTGGTGTGTTATCGCCTGCTCAAACCTACCCCATTGCTCTCCACTGCCCTTCAAGTGACATTAATTTCAATTTCATATTATATTTCAGTTTTGGACTATATTTTTTAATCTGAGAATTGGACATTCTACAGAGATATCAATTTGTTTCGTGAGAGAATAAGAAGAAATGTTGATTCTGAACATTAAACAGAAACTGAGTTTAACAAAGAGAAAAGGTTTGGGGACCGAGGAGACCTACCTATTTGCCTGGATTAGATGCTTTTTATTTTTCCTTACTCAGCTTCAGGACTTTCTATAACAATATTTATAGATTGTGAGATTGTAGAATAGTAGAGTTGATGGGGACCTTAGAGTTCATCTAGCGTCATCTCACTTTGCTAATGAGGAAACTAAGGTTTCAAGAGGATGTGACTACCCTAAGGTCACACAGTACCATATCTGGATACATTTATATTCTCAATAACATTTTTTTCTGAAGTAAAAATACGGCAACACAACTTGACAGAGGATATTTGTTTTATAAAGTGTCATGATAAGTAAATTTTATTTTCTTCAAATCAGGCCTGTGTCAGGCTGGTTATTTATTATGAAGAAAATATCACCCCTCATATTGTTATCTAAGAACGTCCATCTACTACCAGAGAAAAAGGATCGATGTGGATTAACCATACATATATATTCTTAAGGCAAGCACTGTTCCATGCCACACAAGTTACTATGCAGTCTTACATACTGTGTTTGAACCAGGGCACATCAATGAAAATTCTATCAAGGTGTGCAGTAGAGGTGAGCAGCTCTAACCTGTCCCTCAGAACCACTTCTCACTTTCAGCATTTATACCTCAGAAATGAGTAAACTACAAATCATGGATTAATTTATTGGGCTCTTTTTTTGGTTATACAGGTTTTTCAAAGTGCTAATAATGAAGATTAAACTTAAAAGATTGTGTGCATCTGTCGGTGGAGCCGTGAACTGATCCAACCATTCTGGAATGTAATTTGGAGCTACGGCCAAAGGGCTATAAAATTGTGCATATCCTTTGACCTGGTAAGACCACTGCTAGGTCTTTGTCCCAAAGAGATGAAAGGGGAGGGGAGAGAACCTATTCATACAGAAATATTTATAACAGCTCTTTTTGTAGTGGCTGACAATTGGAAATAGAGAGGATACCCATCAATTGGGGAATGGCTAAACAAGCTGTATATGATTGTGATGGAATATTATTTTGCTATAAGAAATGATAAGCAGGATGGTTTGAGAAAAACCTGGAAAGACTTATATGAATTAACAAAAAGTGAAGTGAGCAGAATCAGGACTTCTGATGAAACATACTATCTGCCTCCAGAGAAAGAATTTATACTGTCTGAATACACACTGAATAATGCTGTTTTTCTCTTTCTTCTTTCCTTCCTTTTTTTTTTTTTTGGCTAGGCAATGGGGTTAAGTTACTTTCTCAGGGTCACACAGCTAGATTTGAACTCAGGTCTTCCTGACTTCAGGGCCAGTGCTCTATCCAATGTGCCACCTAGCTGCCCCTCCTTTCTTTCTTTTCAAGTCTTGCACAAAATGATTAATATGAAAATGTTTTACATGATTGCATATGTATCAATTATATAAGATTGTTCACCATCTCAGAAAGGGAGAAGATATGGAGGGAGGAAGGGATAGAATTTGGAACTCAAAACTTAAAAAAAAAGTTTAAAAATTGTTTTAACATATAACTGGGGGAAAATAAAATATTATATAAAAATTGTGTGTATGCATTTTTTTCCAGAAAGCCTGGTTGTTAAACATTTACCATGACACCCCTGATCCTCATCATCTCATTATTTCCAAGAAGAAAGCTTATAGCCACAGAATGTTGGTGATGGAGTGGACCTTGGAGATCAGCTAGTGACCAAATTCTTCACTTTATACATAATAGAATGAAGACATTTACACTGTGAGGGATACTGAGGATTAATGTCAAAGCCAGGATTAGAATCCACATCTTTTGATTCCTGTTATGATGCTTTCCTAATGCACCATGCCAACACTTTCTTTCTACATGATGTGAATTGAAAGCTAGTTAGCTAGTCCTTACAACATTTTTCTCCTCACACACACACCCCACCCCACCAGAACACCTATGATATTGGCTGGAAATCCTAACAGTGAGGATTAGGTTTTTTTGAAGACTTTTTAGTTTTTAGCAGGCTCCTATTAAAAGATAATTCTCCTTGGGAAGGTAATGCCTCAAACCGATAAATCCAGCTAATAAATGTGGGATAGAAGCAAAACCTGAAAGAGTAGAGAGCCAAAGACAAACTGCCTGCTTCACAATTTTACCTAAGAATTTGGTTCTCATCAGGAAGGTATAAATGGCATTCTAAACATTAGGACATCCTAGATAAAGAAATGAAGGAATAGGCTTCATGCTTATTAAATCTGCAGGTGTCAAGAAGTTGGGAGGTGTAACCTAAGATAGCAGAAAGCAGAATCAGCCTCCAAAGATCTGTCAGTAGGCCAGGGGAATAATTCTGAACTTTTTTGTATGTCATGGACATCCTTTCTCAGTCTGGTGAAACCTATGAACCCCTTCTAAGAAATATGTTTTTAAACACACAGGATTATGAAGGAAAATAATCATATTGAAATATGTGTATCAAAATATTAAAGATACAGGTTCACAGACCTCCAGTACAGAATTCCTGGGCTAGATAAAATTTTACACACATATATGTAAAGTCCTACATGTGAGTCAAAAAATCAATGGTTTACAGAACAGAGACTATAGAACTAGACAAGAATATGACAACAATTTAGAGTTCTTAATAGACTAAAAACTCAAGCTAAGCCAAAATTATGACATGAGATTTAAAAAATGAATGTAATCATAGGCTTCTTTAAAAGAAATATAGAATCCAAAGCAAAAGAAGTGATAGTTCTTTTGCATTTTATCCTAGTCAGAAAGGAGAGGAATCATAGACGATAAGAATGCTTGGAGGGTTCATGATAATAATAATGGTTTTTATTATTATAATGACAGGTGTTTATATAATGCTTTAAGATTTGCGAAATGCTTTGCATATGTTAAATCATTTGGAATCTGTCCTTGTGAAGTCACAGGGAGGCAAAAACTAAAGAGATAAATTACAAAGCTTACGAAGTTGAAAGCATCAAAGATCCAATGTGGTAGCAATCAGTGGAGGGAGCAGGAGGTGATCTGTATCACGTTTTGCCCTGCTGAAGTGGTCTGTGGACTGATTTACAAGGACCCCATACTGGCAAAGTGAGAAACCAGTGGAATATGCATTTAGGTTCCTCTCCCTGATTCTGAACTTCTCCCCCACCAGCAGCTAGGGCTCTCATGCTACCTCCAAAACCCCTACCAGACACTCAAATAGAGAATCAACGAGCATTTATTATGCACCTACTATGTGCCAAGTGATAGCGGGACCTGGCTATGAAAGACTCATGCACCCTATCCCTCCCTCTATTGAAATAGATTTTTCAGTACAATATAGTTGTAAGATTTTTTAGGGGGGGTAGAATAATAATTTTATTTTAATATGTTTAATTATAGACAGTGAAACAACTTGAGTTGGGAAGGGAGGGAGAGAAAAGGAGAGCTCCGGGTGAGTTTGCCCTCAGTCTCTCCCTGGGGAATCTGGGAGACTAAGAGTCCTTGGTAGACTGAGCAGAACAGATCCCTAACCGCCAGCCCCATATGGAACCTATTGCATTGGGGGAGCAGTGAAGGAACAAACCATGCCACAAAAAGGGTGTAATAGTTCCCCTGGCCTTGCTCTTCTTCCCTCCCCCAGCTCTTGCTTCTTCCTCCTAGAATGCTTTGGGGCAGTAAGCCACTAAAAGCCTCAGTACACAAATTCCATCATTCCAGGGGTAAGGATACCATGAACCAAGATATGAAAATAAATAGAAAGCTCTCATAGTAAAGGCTAGCGGAACAGGGCTTTCCCCAACTTTGGAGCCAGATGACGTTTATGCCCTGGAACAGGAGTTAGGGACTGTGCTGTTGGGAAAGCTCTTGGGGTGAGGGGAAGATAAGCTTAGACCCCTTGCATGCCCCCTTTACCTCATTCCCAAACACAGCAATGCTTTGCAATAGCTTGCAGAGGTGTGCTGGAAGAAGCTCCTATCAGCTCTCTAGAGATCCATTTTCAGTGGTAACATTTACACTTCAGAAATCTGCAAATGCTATAAATCAGTGATTTATTTATTACTTTCTTGATTTTCTAGACTTAAGAAAGCAAAGGAGAAAATGTTAATCATACAAATTAAACTTTTGTGTCAACAATACGTTTAGAATGCTAGGTCTGGAATCAGGAAGATCTGAATTCAAATCCAGCCTCAGACATTTACTAGCTGGGTGACCCCGGGCAAGTCACTTAACTTGTTTGCCTCAGTTTTCTCAACTGTAAAATGGTGACAATAATAACTATCTCATAGGGTTGAGAGAATCAAATGAGATAATAATTGTAAAGCACTCGGTGCAGTGCCTGGTACATTATAGTGCTACATAAATGTTAGCTATTGTTATCTACTATTCTCCTCATTTGTTTTTAGAACTGGTTGCTAAACATTTACCAGAATGCTGCTGTGCACTGGTCACAGCTCTGACATTGGATAAAGCATTTCTGTGAACCTGGGAAACCGAGGCTTCAGATCTGAGCTGAGAGGTGGATTTGAGGCTTTATTGCCTATCTGGTCACAATAGCTGGACATAGAGTGAGGAAGCCTGGGTCCAAACCTCATCTCTGAAACCCACTAGCTAGATGACCATGGAAATTTGACCACCTGTCTGGGCCCCAGTTCCTTCATTATATCTCAAAGAGGAAAGCTAAAGCATTTTATAAGTCTTAAATATTCTGCAAATGGGAATTCCTATATGGCCACTACCATTCGTTTTATGCTGCAGCTTCTGAGGTCCATCTTTGAGGATGATGTATCATACATGAAGGATCCCCAACCAATGAATTGTGATTGGCAGGTAATCAGTCACATCAGTCATGACCCCAACGGTCCTGATAGGGTCTCTCCCTTCACTGACCTTCAACTTGTGTTTATGGGGAAAGGGACATCTCCATGGAGACACCACTGCAGTGACTTCCCCAAGTTCAATGAAGTTGATGAAAAGGGAAGGGATGAAAGGCCACTGAACTTCCTGTTATCAAGGGATCAGTTCTTTTGACTCCAAGTTCAGTGCTTTTTCTACTTCACCCATCTGCTTCAAGAGATTCCCCATTAATAGGGCTTCAGGACAAGCTTTTTACAATAGCATTTCTTCCCTAAAGAGGGCTTTGGCTTGTTGACCTTCAAGGCCCAGCATATCTTCATCTACTCAAACTGACCTTGTTTTGGGGGCAGCGTTTTTCAATTAGCGAGTTACAGCTTATTTATTTACTTTCCAAATATACTGATATTTGCTATATTTTGTTCCTGACATATGGTTTCAGTTTTCTTTTCTTCGGGGAGGAAGTAAAAGTTTTTATTCAGAAATTTTTTAGTGTTTCCAATTACTTGGAAGTTTTTTTTTTTATTGACTTTTGATTCATTACAAAGGTAGGGAAAAAATAAAAATGAATTACTTGATTTTCTCCCCAAATAGAAACTTTAGGATCCCACTATCCTGGAAAGTTCTTTTGTTTTTGTTTTTCTGTTAAGTACTTATATCTTCCTGGCCAAGAAATCAAAGTAGCTAAGTAAACACTTTCGATATTTATTTTATCTCCAGGTTCATTGTACTCAAGTTTAAACAGTCCCCTAGGAGTTTTGTTATTTGCTGCAATGATGTCACAACAGTGACTGGATTAGCCAAGATAACAGAACTGAGGGTTAATGAACCCTTGTGTAAATAAGATCAAAATATAGTGAAGCTCTCAATTTGGGTTTGTTTTTTTCTTTTCTTTTTTTAGCTTTTCAGTCCATCATACTAAGTCCAAAGATATTGAAATAAACATTCATAGGAGAGGTAAATGGATTTCAATGTGAGGATAAAGTTATCTTTTGAAAAGGGTTTATGGGGGCAGCTAGGTGGCCC